TGCATAGTAAGTGGTCAATAAATTCCAGCTGCTATTGTTGTTGTTGCTATTTCCCCTCTATTACCCACTGGTCACTGCTGATACCTGCCCTGGTAACCGTCCCTCTCCTCCACCCCCACGCCGGGCTAGCCTGCTCTTCCAGATCTGGGGGCTGTGGCCCCCTGCACACTGATGTTCTCTTAGCTGGGACTCCCACTCCTTAGACTAGGCTCAAAGTTTATTGGAGCATTTCTTCTAAAAGTGTCCCAGAAAACAGGGAGTCCTTTGAGAGACTGTCAGGGCGGTGCGGCCCTGTGCTCATGGTCCAGTTGAGGAAAAGTCTGTGGGTGGGGGTGAGGAGTCTTGAGGGCACATAGGAGAGGATGGAAGAGGACGGGTAGGCTGGGGGTTTTAGGAATCGACATATTTGGAACCCTCACACCACATTGCTTATGCACATCCACCAACTTCATAGGTCCTGTGACATGAAATAGCTGAACAAATACTTTTTTGGTTATGTAGTTGACTTTGCCATATCTTGGTGAGGTAGAAGCAATCTCTCTCTGGCCATGCCAAGGGTCAAATGTTATAGGTTGCCTTGAGGACCCTGCGGGGGGAGCCCCTGGAAGGCTCTTTCTCTCAAAGCTGCCAAGGTTCCCTTCTGCACCCTGACAGGATAGCCTGTTCTTTGTCCCTGGTCTCAGTTCATCAAACTGAAAGACTGAGGTATGAGTCCAGCTGACCACCTGAAAGGAATTATCCCAGCTCAACTCCCTTTCCCATCCTTAATTATCTCACAGAGTCCACAGGCCTTGGCTGACTTTGACTCCTCAGGCACCCTCAGGCCCTCAACGGTGGAAGAAATGCTGCCAAGGTTTCAGAGTTACCTGAGTGTAGGATTTTCAAAAGCCCCATCTTGATGATATTACCCCAGGAGAGAGGAGAAGTGGCGGAAATTTCCCAAGTCCATAAAGATGACAAAAGAGTGACTCCACCTGGTGAGGTGAGCAGACCCAGATGTCTGGGTTTATAAAATGGCCATAGGCAGTGAGGAAAAGGTCGGAATCCTTCTCTTCTTCCTCTGGCTTCATGTCCTTCAGCTTAGAGTCACCATGACCTGTGGATGGTCTTGCTTTAGCTCCTGCAGTGGAGTATTCAAATCCAGCTCCTGTACGACCACTTGAAGTTCTGGCTGTGCCTTCAGCTGTGTATCATGGCTGCCCCCGATCACACTCTTCCTGAACCCCAGTCATGCTAAGGACTCAGTCTGGGCACTGAAGGGGGCTCAGGAGTAGGAAGGATGTGGTCCATGTGAGTGCTCAGTCTGATAGAGGAGATGGACACACATCCAGGGCACAAGCAGATACAGAGAGATGCATATAGGGCAGGAGCTCCTGATTCGATAGCGCTGTTTTTATATACAACATGGTGGGGACTGCTAGGGTCATGCCAGCTATTTATTCATTTGTGTGGTCAGGGCTGGGGACATTGAGGGAGGGGTGTTCTGATGGCTTAGGGCTCTGGCTCCCTGAGGTAATTCTCCAGGGATAGGAAGTGTCTGGCATAGTGTTGGTTCATAACAGGCACGGAACAATGTTAAGAGAATGAATGAATTCGTCTCTAAGTTTTCCAATTGCCCATAGGCCAAAAAGCAAAATTGCTTACATCATCTAATTGTTGTAAATTAAAATGTGCTGTAGAGGATATGAACCTTTTATACATTACTGATCAAAGTATAAATTGTTATTATAACAACTTTGGCAAATAATTTTTTGTGTTGTAATGCTGAATATTTGACTATCCTATGACCCAGAAATTCCACTGCTAGATGTATATCAAAGAGAAATTCTCACATGTATACATCAGGGGACATTTAGAAAAATGTTCATAGCACCAACTTTGTAACAGGAAAAATAAAACAAAACAGAACAATAATAGAATTATATTTACTCATTAGAGTATATTGGGTTGTCAGAAAAGTCATGATGTATTTTGTTTATGTTTTTCAAAGGTCATTTATTTATATAAAGAACAAAGATCAATGAATGATATATTGCCCATTTTTTTCGATAACCTTTGCCATCTTTCAGTGAGCTTCATAATTCCTCGTTCATAGAAGGACCTGTCTTTATTTGTGAAAAACTGAACAAAGTGCTGATTTACAGCCTCATTTGAATTGAACGTTATACCACACAGGGAGTTTTGAAGAGAGAGAAACAAGTGGAAGTCTGACGGCGCAAGGTCAGGTGAATATGGTGACAACACATCCCATCCAAGCTCCAATAATTTTTTTTTTTAAAGATTTTTATTGGGGAATTGGGGGGAGGGGAACAGACAAGCTGCTGTCGTTTTGTTCTTCAGTCTAGTTGTGGAGGACGTTGCTTCACTGGCCCAAGTTGGCACCATCATTGCACTCTTCCCGGGCGAGGCAGATCAGTCGCCAGTTTCTGGATGGCCGCTCACAGCGGCTGCTGGCAGCTCACTACACACGGTAGCCCATGGCAACCCACTGCAGCAGGGGCTGCAGCCTACGGACCGCTGGCGACTCACGGCAGCCCAGCTCCAGGTTGAGCTGTTGTTCAGCATCTTAGCTGTAGAGGGCAGTGTCACTGGCCCTCATATATGGGATCCAAATCGGAGTCCTCTGGCATCCCAAGCCAGCTCTTAACCAATGAGCCACTCAGCTGGCCCTAAGCTCCAATAATTCTTGATGGGTAATCATACTTGTGTGTGGTCTCACGTTGTCGCGATGGAACACAACTCCTTTACAATTAACAAGCTCTGGATGTTTCTGGATGATGGATTCGTTCAAACTGTCCAATTGCCAACAGTACACATTCGAATTGATTGGTTCCTTGGTAGGAGCTCGAAAAACACGACACCTTTAAAATCCCACCTCATTGAGAGCATAACCTTCCTCTGTTGAATGTCTGCTTTCGATATCATTTGAGGCAAATCGGGACCAAGACCATTTGCGCACCACATTGTTGTAAACAATCCACTTCTCACCACCAGTTATCAGTCGCTTCAAAAAAGGATCGTTTTCCTCACGTTTAATGAGGATATTGCAGATGTTTATACACACTGTCAAATGAACTTCTTTGAGCTCATGTGGAACCCAAATATCAAGCTTGCTTACATATCCCAGCTTCTTCAGGTGGTTCGTGAATGTTTGAATAATGGATATTCAATGTTCCTGCAATCTCTTGTGTCGTGTAACGTGGGTTTGACTTGATCAATTTCTTTATTTTGTTGTCATCAACCTCGGTGGGCCTCCTTGACCGAGGAGTGTCGATTTTGTGAACCATTATTGGCACTGATGTTCTTGTAGAACATTGTCACTATAAACTTTATGCAACTTTTCACAAGCTGGATGCGTGTTCTTCCCTTTATGGAAGTAAAACAGTAAAATATGGCAAAAATGCACAGTTGGTTTGGTCTTCCATCTTCAACTTGTTGTAAAATCTCCAAAACTCAACCAAATCGCTCAATTTTTTTTTAGAATGAAGCTAGAACTGTCAGCTGTCAAATGACATAGCAACAACACAGATGCGAATGACTCTAGTACTTCCAAAAATGAACTAGTGCCATCTCTCACAAACATGCGTCATGACTTTTCTGACAACTCAATATGAATCCTAGTAGAGACATCCTAGTTACATAATTATATATTTTTTTAGCAAGTGCCTGTGAAAGTTATACCTTTTTAGTTAAAAAAAAACAAAAACAACTAAAAAATATATTTTTAGGTATATGTATGTATGTGATAAAACTAAAAAAAAAAAGCAAAGGAATGATGACATAAATTCAAGGTAGTGTGTAGGTAGATAGAAATTATTAGTAATATTTTGGTTTTGTGTTGGTAAGTGAGCTCATGGTATTTAATTTTCATTATATTATTAAATAAATAATAAAATCAATATGTTATTCATAAGAAATGAGGCTAAAATATGAGGCCATAAATCGAAAGTGAAAGAACACATTAAGATGATTGGTTAGAGGATCAGGGTGCATTGTACACAGTAGGAAAGAGTAATTTTTCATGAAAAATTACTTATTTCAGTTTCTGTGCATGAATATATATGTATCAATAGGTACTGACTCATGATATAAAATATATTTTTTATTTTGAGTTGTTGTTCAAAAAACTTTAGTACCCTAAAGAACCTCTTGCTGAAGTGCACCAGCAGATATGTTCCAAACAGTTCATAGCATTGTTTGTTGTACCAGAAACAAAAATACACAGGTGCATACCCATAGGAGGATGGAGAAGTATTCACCCATTGGAATACTATACAGCACTGAAAAATAAACAGAATGGATGACTCTCCAAATAGAATATTGAAGAGAAAAAAGCAAGTTATGGAAGCACATGCTATAATTCTATTCATATAAAGCATAAAAGTAGGCAGAACTAAACAATTGCTAGGAGTTCATTAAGACATGATAAGATAACAAAGAAAAGCAAGAGAATGCTTAACACAAAAACCCAGGATAATGGTTGCTTTGGAGATTTGATGGGGTCAGGGATGGAGGATACTGTAACAAGCGTTCCACAGGGGGCTTTGAAGGTACTGGTGGGTACACAAGGATATGTTTTAATACTCTTGCATTTAAATCATTAAGTATGTGCTACATATACTTTTTAGCATGTATGAGAAATTTATAAAAGAAAATGTCAACAGCAGCTTGTGCTCTCTAGTCCCCTGGTTACTTCTTCAGTTTAGAGTCATCACCCCAGATGACTCTAGTTCTAGCCTTAGAACTAGAATTCCCAGTCGTAGTGTCTCTACATCCTGTCCATCTTCCACATTGCTACCAGACAGATCTCCCTAAATCGCACCTCACACCAGGTGACTGGTCTGCTCAAGCACCTTCTGTAGCTCCCCACTGCCCACTTCAGAAGCTCAAACTCTACACATTTCTCCCAGTTGAGTTACCCTTTTATCCCTCCATCCTCCTCCTTCCTTCAAGGCCCATTCTAGTCCAAGGACCTTCAATTTCCCATCTGAGCTCACAGAATGGCTCCTGTCACCCTGTCAGAACTCTGCAATTGTAACAAGGTGAGGTCACAAAGCCCCCAGGAAGGAGAGAACTTGTCTTCAGAGGTGAGAATTCTGGGAGCTTCTTGGGCTGGTGCTGGGCTTAGTGTTCACAGGAGGCTTGGAGGAGACTACAGCCCCACTCATCATGGTGCGACTTGTCCACATGGCTCATTGGCTTGCACGGGCTAAGGGGTCTTGGATTCTACCCAGATCTGCTGAACCCAGCCAATCACAAGCTTGTCTACTGTGTCTACAGCTTTTGGGAATGGGAACAGGAAACGGTAGTCAGAGGGAATAGGGCAGAGATTGGGGGAGGATGATGTTTTTCAGTCTATTCATATCTGGTTCCCACAACCCATCTGTTCTGGAAAGAAATTTGCACTGCACTGCTCTGAATAGTTCCTATTCTTTGGGTTGAAGGATGTGAGTGACTATCTGGCCCTTAGGGTGTCGAGCAAAGAGCATGGGCTTAAGATTCGATCTGGCTCACCTGCTGACTGGCAGGGACACTCATGTCTCTCTGAGTCCCACTTTCTTGCATGGTAGATGTAATGAACATCAGCTTGTCCAGGGAGAGAGAATGGAGACAGTAACATCTACCTGGCCTACTTCACAGGTGGCCATGGGCCCCAGTGAGATGGCAGAGCTAAAAGACTTTGAAGAGTGTAAGGCACTGAGCCAGCATTAGTTACTGTACCCATCTGTTTACATATTGGTGTGTGGAGACAGGGTGCAGGAAGGGAAAAGACCCACTGGTTTTGTCCCCTGTAGACAGCCCTTTCCACAGTGGTCTTCATTTGCAGAAGGAGCCAGACCTGGATTCCTGTCTCTGATGAATAACATTCATCAAGTTAAGGAAGTTTATTCATATTCTTAGGTTTTTAAAAGTATTTTTAAAATTAGCAATTATTGTTGAATTTTATTAAATTCTTTTTATATTAATTTGGATTACATAAGTGGCAAACGGCAATTAATTTCCTAGCGTTTAACTACCCCTATCCCTGGGACAAAACTTATGTGACCTCAGTCCAAAGACTCAACTCAAAAGATTGTTGCCTTACCTTGTTGCTCTTTGTCCCTGAGTTCATGCTACCTTTGGCATCTCCAGGCCTGGTAGAATAACCCACCACTATGCCAGCCAAGCACATTTTATCCTCCCAACAACCCTTGGGAGAATGAAATAGGAATAGGAAAGATTAACATCCCCATTTTACAGATGGAGAAACAGAGGCCCAGAGGAGTTAGATGATCAACATAGTGCTGGATGGGTGGGCCCTGGCACTGTCTTGCAGGCCTCCATCCAGTGTTCTTGTTTGCTCTCCTCATCTCCCTGATCCTCCTCCTTACTCTGCTGCCCCCTCCCCACAGTGTGAGGAGGTAAAGGTGACTGTGCAGAGAGACACACAGAGCCTGAGGCACAGCAAGGAGGAGCTGAACAGGCTTAACCAGGCCATCCAGAAGCTGACCGTGGAGGTGGACAACGCTAAGAGTCAGGTGAAGGATGGGAATGGCGGGTGGCAGAATAGTGATGGTTGGGGTACATCCATTCTTTATGACAGCTAGGCTAGGCACCCCGCCATCCTTTGGGATAGATGGACCGAGTTTCTCTTTGTAGATGTCTGAGCAAATAGGAGTGTGGCTGTAATATCATGCTTACCTTTGCCTAGGACTCCCTATATTTCATGTGAGTAAGTGATTAGTATGTAGGTAAATGCACAATTATGAATATGGATGCTTGTTTGTATATTGTTTTTATGTGTATGTACATTTTTATGTCTGTGTTTTGTTTGTCCTACATAGCATGACATTTGAGCTCATCTTCAGAAATTGTAAGATCTCACCTAGAAAGCCTGTTTTCTGTGTTCTCTTTAAAAATGTGCAGATTTGGCAATATTAAACTATGACTCCACATGGTAATATTTGGCTAGAGAGGAGAGGCCTCTATCTTCTTCACACAGGGATATGCCCTTTGTGTGCCACGGCCCCCACCGCTACAAACTGATTCCTTTGACACCGAGGCAGAGGGTTTTTGCCATTTATCATCACCTTGGCTACTACTATTACTATCTCTGTAGAAGAGAAAAACTTATAGGTAGAGAAACTATGTCTCTATCTAAAGCAGAGAAATGAAAGCCTGGAAACATGAAAGAGGTCCTGGTGATTTCAGGATGATGAGAGCATGCATATTCCTTTGTGGAACTGGATTCTATTGATATATATATATATAATTAACATTTGGCCTTTACCTTTCGATGCCTCCAGCCAGGAAGGCATTTTGTACTTGCGACTCAGGCTCTAGGCCTTAGAAAGGATAGGTTTCCACATGAGTGCTTTCTTTCCCTCATCCTCTTTCCCTCTCGACCTCCTCTCTTTTCTCCCAGCTGCCCTCCCTCTCTCTCAAGCCCTCTGGCTCATCTCCCATCCACAGAGGGAAGGGGTTCTGCTTCCCGACTTTTCTTTTACAAGTGACTCAGGCTCTGAGGGAAATTCATGGGGGTTCTCTCTTCTCCAGGAAATGATGACTTTGAGGTGAGGGGATGAGCCGTTCAGGTTCTAGGGGTGGCAGAGTGAGAGGGTAGGCAAGTCAGGGTTCAATCTCCCACCAGCCACAGATGCTCTGATGCCCCCCTATTGGTTTCCTAAGCAGCCAGCACACCTCAACAAGGCAAGCACTTATTATTATTACCCCCCACCCCCAAAACTACAGATTCTAGTCTCCTGTGAAGAACAGGATAGCCTTCTTGTTAGTTTGCCTGATAAAGCAATAATCTCAGCATTATGTGCTAAGGAGCATTTGATCCTTCTCAGATCTGAGCTCCTATTAGAAGTGTCATCATGCTCAATGTGAAAAGCTCTCTCTCAGTCATCCAGGCAGCTGGCCCCAAATCTCCTGGGAACAGGGCAGACACACAAACACAGGTTTCAGAATAGGTGTGCTCGCTCCACACAACAATCTGTGACTCTCATTGGCCCTCCAGCCTCTAAAAAAGGTCTGGATCCTTGAGGGGGCAGGGATGGAGGCCAAGGATGTCCTGTTCATGGTTATCCCTTTGCCCCCAGCCTTGCAAACTAGAGGGAGCCAAGGACCTGCCAGCTCTGCAGGAGGAGGGTGCCTCAGGCAGTGTTAAGGGCAAGCTGGCCTGGCTGGAGGCCGCCCTGCAGAAGGCCAAGCAGGACATGGTGAGGCAGCTGCAGGAGTACCAGGAGCTCATGATCGTCAAGCTGGGCCTGGACTTTGAGATCGCCACCTACCGAAAGCTGCTGGAGGGCGAGGAGAGAAGGTGAGGGATGGGCAGTGCTTCAGATATGCTATAGTGAGGAGTGCAGGGGCATAGGGAGGTCACCAGCTGGGGACGGGGTGGGGAAAGGCAACCTAGGTATCCAGGGACTTGCTCTCCTGGAGTCAGTTTTTTCCACCATTGAACAACCTTTTAGGCAAAATGTCCCAACTAATGAGCACCATGGCACCTTGGTAGGGGTGACTCATGAAGTCATTCGCCTCCAGGATGGGAGAGCAGGGTTATTTTGTCCACCATGATAGCTGCAGGGACCAAGGGCCAGTCAGGGGGAATAAGGTCCCCAGTGTGGAGTAACTTCTCAGTTCTCCCCATCTTCCCCCGGCCCAGGGAAGGCAGGGTTTATGGGAACAAGCGGGGCCTGGCTTTTAACCTTAGATAGCAGCTGCCGGCTCCATCTGGCCTGGGGACACCACGTTGCAGGGAGGAACAGGGAACCCATTATGCAATAGGCATGATGCATATATTATCTCCTTTAAACCTATAAAATCCCTGGGAGGGATTCTATTAGGCTCATTTCACAGATGAAAAAACTGAGTCTCAGAGAGGGCAAAGCACCACCTCAAGGACACATAGGTAGAAAGGGGTTGAGCGGGGCTTGAACAATATTCTTCAGGTAATTGAGCTATCTCCTCTGTGGTCTCCTTTAAAATGCCCCTTCCACCAGTCTCCCCTTTCAAGATGTTTAGGTCAAAGAAAGTGTAGATCTTTTGCCTTCTTTCTCCTCCAAGAAGCCATCCATAAAAATGAGTTATTTAAATTTAAGGGGAGAAGGATTGAGTTTAAAGGTCCAAAAGGAGTCTTTACCAAAAGGGCTGTGGGGACCTGAGAGAACCAAGGAGCATGCAGGATGGAAAGGTTTCTGCCTGTCTGAGAGCCAGGAGTCTTTTGTCTTGGAGAATAGAGACTATTATACCGAGGAGATAAATCCACTCACCTGCTTTCTCCTTCTCCCTGCAGACTTGGCCTGGGATTGGGGACAGGGAGCGGCTGTAAGTAACTAATAGGTGTAACTTGGGTTAGAGGGGCCAAATCTTATCCTCCTCTCCCCACTTTTTTGTGTGTGTATCTCTTGGCAAGGGAGAAGGGGTCTGCTTCCTCAGTTTGTCTCCCTTTGCGGGAGGGGGGATGTTTCTTCTCTTGGGGGTGAGTCTACGTTTGTGTGTGTTGGGGGAGGGGGAGTCCTGTGGTCTGTTCTTTGGGGGGACGTTCTGTTGGTTTTGCCTAGGGTGTGGGAGGGAGTTCTGTGGGTTTATCCTCATGGACAAGACTGTTTATTCTTGGGTGGTGGTGTGTGTGTGTGTGTGTGTGGAAATCTGTGACTGACTTTTGGTGGGGAGGGATTCTTTAGTCTGTTTCTTAGGGGAAGGAGCCTGTGTATCAATTACTTTGGGGAGTTTGCACGTCTGTCTCCAGGTGGGGAGGAGGGTCTATGCATTGCCCCCTGGAGGAGGAGTCTGTCTGTCTGTCTGTCTGTCTTCTGGGGCGGAGCGGGGTAAGGGGGGTTTCCTCCCTCCACCAGCCGCTCTCTTCCCAGCCCTGGGCAGCGCTTCCACCTGCAGACCCGGGGCAGCTTCGGATCCTGTCCGACAGCAGTCGGGCTCTGACGCCCTGGAGACAAGCGCCCCTGGCGGCGGTTGCGCGCTCTGCGGCTCCCCAGGCTGTGTTGGGAACTTCAGCTGCAGAGGCTCCGGCAGATGTTGAACCCTTCCTACCCCACTCAGGAGAAGTCAAAGAACCCTAGCTTTTATTCCCAAAGACTTAGCCCTCTGTCTCAGATGCCCCTCCAATGGAGCTGACCCTCACCTCCCCGCTCCCTCCTGTGCCTCACCCATAGTATAAACTCTTGGAATGCTGCTTTGCCCTTCTGAACTGCCCCCACCCCTATTTTCCTGGGACTCCTCCTTTGCAATAAAACGTTCTGCAGTGGACGGAGCTTCCAGGCTGTTTGCATCTTCATTCCTCTGGCAATCCCCAGAATGAAGACAAAGCTGGCCAGATTTGGGGGAGGGTCACCACTAAGGGGCAACCCTCCTAGCCTGGCGTCCACAGTCAGCACTTCTTGGCAGAGGAGTTGAGAATTGCATTCACTCATCTACTCACTCATTCTACAAACAGTTATTGAATGGCGTCTGAGGGTTAGGCATGGTGCTTGGTGAGCATGGTGACACTGGAGTCCTGGCCCTCTGGAGATGATGTTCTGGGGAGGAGGCAGGCTATAAACAAGGAAACAGACCAGAAAGAGAATAGAGTGGGATAGGGATGAGGGGGCGCCTTTTACTACCCAGTCATGAGCACTTGAGGATAGGCCCTGGAGAAGATGGCCCTCGCAGATTGGGGCCGGGGGATATGAACACCGCTGGGTGGCTAGGAGTTCTAGTTTAACAAGTGGTTTGATGGTGGGCTGAGAACAACATATTTTGGTGGAGGAAAGCGTGTCTTTGGAATCAGACTGAGGTTCCAGCTCTGCTTCTACTCCAGGACTGGGGTGTAGTTTGGTTTGAGTTTTCACAAGGTGAATGGATTTGGGGGGACAGAAGATAGGCCAATATGGGGGGCGGGATGGCCAGCGAAAGGCTGGGTTTCTGGGTCTTTTTCTTGCCACGCAGCCTTGAGAGAAGCCTCGGGTCATTGAGCTCACATTCTTTTCTATTGCACAAAGGATTACAACATCAGTGCATCTGGGGAACAATGGTTCCTGCTTTCTATGTTCTTGGGCGGGGCTGAGGAGTCGTCATTGGCCAGAGGCCCTGGCTTTACCTTTTAAGGTATACTAGTGCCAGGGTGTCTGCTGTGTTTTCCTGAGTCCCTGCCCAAAGAACAGGTATCTAAAAGGCCCCCTTCCTTGGTAAACAAAGCAGTCTCAGGCAAGAGGAATGGGACCGAAACTTGGCTGGCAGCCTGCCACCCAACCTGGAGGGTATTGGACATGGCCCTCCTGGACTTATGCATCAGCCCCATTTGATCCATACTGACCGACACCAACTGTATAAATATTCTTCACAACACCACCAGTGCAAAGCAGCTCTTGAAAGCAGAGCCCCTCCTCTGAGCCCCTGCTCTGAGGAGGGACAACGGGTTACCTGCATTTTGCTAGGAGGTAATGACATTCTGTGATTTTCAAGGTCAGATTTTCCCAGCTGTTGCTGTGCTGACCATTTGTGGGACATGCAGAAGAAAATACCCCGAGGAGTTATAAGCAGGATTTCTGATGAGACTTCTGTGGCCTGCATCACCAAAGACTGGTTGTTACCCACATTTTTCCTTTCCAAATTTCAAGCCTGACGTCAGTCCAGGAAATCCCAGTGGCGGTGGGGTCAGATTTGAGTCTCTTGCTGGGCCAGGGCCATGTGAGTCACCAGCAGTGTTTGCGGTTTGGGGACTGATTCTCTGAGTAGCTCCCTTGGCCATGGGCCACATTCCAGCCTGGGGTGGGAGAGAACTACCTGCAGCATTTATGAAGAGTCATTCGCCAGCCCATTTAAAAGCTTTGTGAGTCGGGGTGACTTCTGAAGGGAGGAGGGTTGTCACCAGTGCAGTCATTGCTTCTCAGGGCAAGGGGACCTCAAGGGTCAGCCCTCTGTTGGCTCCTGAAGCCTGTCTCACACTTAATTGCCCTTAAATATGAATATGTCAGATGAGTATGTGTTAGCATCTCTATTTGAGCCCCTAGAGGGCAGTGATGGTCACATCCATTCATCTGCAGGGCCTGCCAGGTAGTAGACGTGAACAGGTTGAGGTTCTGTGGTCCTGATTGGTCTGCCCTGTCCTTGGATGTATTGAGCCCATTCTTCACCATTATCTTGTCTCACCCTATGGAAACCCCTTGTAAGTCTCTTGATGTGTCTAAATGCAATCCTTCCGGAAGTGATTCCAGCTGCAATATATCAACCAGGCCAGCCTAGAGTAAGGAAGGAAGGGCCCAGATTGTATTCCCAGTCTTGCTGTTACCTTGGCCAAACTCTTCACCTGTTTTTGTCCCGCCCTCCCCAGATCTAACTGGTAAAGATTCATTGATCTCTTTTATTTTTCCTCCCTACTTAGACTCTCTACATGACAGTTTATCTGTAAAATAAAAATAGTACAGATAACTACAATAGGGTTGTTTCAGGATTAAATATATTACTATATGTAAAGTGCTTAAAACATAGCATGGGTTATATAAATGTAACTAATATATCACTTATTGGAGTTCTTGGGAAGGGTTTTGAGCAACTTTAAACAAGGCACTACCAAGTCTAAGTTGACCTCCCTGTGCCCCAGCTAGAGCTAGAGTGACTGTAGGACAGGAGGGTAAGTAGGGAAGCAAAAGAGTTAGAGCGAGGGCTAGCCAGCAGGCACTTCCCCAGTATGACACCCAGTGTCACCTGCCCATCACTACTCCCATCTCAGCCCAGTTATCCATCTGGAACCCGGCCTCACCAGCTCATGAGTCCACCTGTGCACCCACACTGCACTCATATCCACATGTACCCACAAACCCCCTCTTCAGCTTATATACACAGGCATACACACACATTCACACACATAAGCCACACTTACAGAAACCCTCACAGTCACACACACACAAATGTGTTTCCACATAGATCCCCAGAGATGTGCGTGAACCTGGATGTAATCATACTGTTGTACTCACAAACAGCTGCCTCTAGACAGTGAGTTATGCAAAATGAAGATGCAGTCAGCATGTACATAGCAGTTTCATGACCCCTGGACTCCCTTCTCTCTAGCTCCTAATCCTGTCCCACCTCTCCTAAAGAATAATAGAGCTTTCAGTTGGTAAGGGACTTTAACAGCTACCTAGTCCAAACATTTGACTTCACTAGTGACTACACTGAGGCCCAGAGAGGGAGGTGTCTTGCTAAAGGTCACACAGCGAGTGAGGTGTTCCATTTCTTCACCATTCTGTATCATGAGTGTTATGTGTTTGATTTATTCACCTTTGCTCCTCTTCCTGAGCTGGTCCAGGTGTGGGAACCTAGAGGGAGGTGAGGATTGTGGAGCTGGAGAGGGAAAGAGAAGAAAGAGGTGGAGAGAGGGAGAGAGAGTGAAGAGTGTGGCTGGTCATCAAGGCCCAGCTGGGCTGATGAGCCCTGTGAGATGGCAAGGGAGGGGTCAGTTGACAGAGATGAGAAGTCCCTCAAGAATGGAGTTGCAGGTGGCTTCTGAACTGGGGAGGAATGGAAGGATGGAGCTTGCTGGACCTCAGGTCTGGACTCCTGACCAGGCCTGCTTCTGAGCTGTGTGGTGTCATAGCATGGAGAGCTGGTTAGGACAATCACACACTCTGGGACTCTCCCAGGGCTCTGTCCTGCTCAGAATTCCATCAGGGGAGTGGAGGGGCCTCATTGGTGGCCAGGACACCTGGGATTGATCTTGTCCTTTAAAAAGAGTCTCTCTCTTTTCAGACTCCATGCTTCTGGTCTCCCAATATGCTTTCGTAATTATTTTTGTTGCCCTGAAGGATGGGCTGGGGATTAACATTTCCACTACAGTTTTCTGGGGCTGGACGTATAGAAATTTGCCCTGCTGTATAGATGTACGCATATTCAGGGACTCACCTTGGTCCATAGTGAAGCTGAGAGGCCATCTGCCCACTCCCACTGGCCACTTTTAAGATTCTCATCAGTGTCAGAGTGGGGGTGGGGAGGGGCACATTTCCCTGAATGAAGGAGTTCAATGGCTTTGGAAGACATGGAGATTTCTCTCTGTACTTGCAATCTCTGATCACAGATATAAGTGTAATGAGAGGCTGGCCATGGCCCTGGTTCCCAGAGGGGTGTCTACTTTGCATTCTGCAAAAGACTACTTTTGATAAATGCACATCGTAATTATTTTGTGTCAGACACTGTCTAAGCATTATACTTATATGAAATTCCTTAATCCTCCTCCCATCAATCCTATGAAGTAGGTGCTCTTTTTATCATTCTCAGTAGAGATGTGGAAACTGAGGCACAGAGAGGGTAAGTAAATTGCCCAAGGTCACTCAGCAATGAAGGGACAGAGCCCAGTTTTGGACCCAGGTAGCCTGGCCCCAGAGTCTGTGTGCTCACCTTTCTGCCACATCATCTTCTTGCTATGTGCTGTTTTCTGTCTTTGAGGTAATTTATCAGGTATGGCAGGTTTCCAAACCTCAAAGGGACTCCATTAAAAAAAAAGTCACCATATCAAAGGCTTTCTGAAAGTTTAAATCATGTTCGTGGATTTATCCCTTCAAGAATTCTAATAAATTACTCAGGCATGAGTCTCCCCCACCAAAGCAATGAGTGATGTTTCTTTAAGCTTTGAGTGACTGGTGAATCTAATTTTCATTATCCATCAGTTTATAGGGGTGCACAAGGATGTTTTCTGGGAGGCAGCTGTAATGAAATGAGCATTAGAGATGCACACGTGTTCAAACACCAGCTATACCACTGAACTCACCTTGGGGCCCTGCCCCAGTTACCGAGCATTTCTGAGCCCTAGTTTCTTCATCTGCAAGATGTATCATGAAAAAGGGTGTGGATAAAATGAGTGAGGGTGTGTAGATATACTTATATCGTGTTGGGGCCTAACACAACCTTGGCTCAATCTGAGACAGCTGTGAGCCCAGGGATAGAGGACTATACTAGAGATGCCAGACTAGGCCATTCTCTGCTCCATGTGACTTTGGGGACCCTTCCAAACCCCAACCCTTGAGGATAACAGAGGTGCAGACAAGGCCCAGGGTTGGCTACATTGATTTATTGGAAACACAGATCAAGACAGACATGAACAGAGAAGGAAGGGTGGAGAGGCTGGGGGGACTCT